CTGTGCCCCCTCGGATCCATAGCCCCAAACTACAGCTCTCTCTGGAGACTTCTGCAGCACCATGTGATCTTGATAGTAGGAGGCGAAGCGCAGGACCCCATCTACACACATAAACATTAATATGCGAGTGCAGAATAATTAAAATAACAATACATAAAGAAGAGATTTTTTTTTTGGAGATAGTGTAAGTAAGTGCAAATATGCCTTTTTGTTTCTGTTTGAAAATAATAACGCAGTAACATTTTGACACGGCCAGAAGTTGTAGTTGGCCAACAGGTTAATGTTGACTAAACGATACTCACCACAGTCTTGAATAGAAGCTGCAACCAGTATAAAAACACCACAAAGTCTTATCGCCATGACAACAAGATGATTTCCAGGTTAACCAAAAGTTGCAAAATCACGCAGATTGAGTTTACGTGATGAACTATCAAACGGTAAACTCAGCAACTAACTCGTGATTTATCTTCTTCTTCTTCTTCTTCTTCTTCTTCTTCTTCTTCTTTCGTGTTTATTGGCGGTTGGCAAACCAACTTGTAGGTCCATTACCGCCACCAACTGGACTGGAGTGTGGACAAGAGACTAAGCAGAAAACAATAAACAAAAGAAACAAAACAAAGAACCAAAACTCTAGATTATTTTTAAATGTATCAATTTCTCTTAGAAATTTAATAATCTCACAATATATATTGCCTGATGTTTTCCCTAACAGTCCTGATAGCGACAAGTCATGGAATTTTGCTTTCTTCAATGTCTGGAAAACAAATTTCTCTGAGTACTATATTTCCTGCAAAGCAGTAAAACATGCTCAACAGTTTCTGGCTGGCTACAGTGTATACACTTTCCGGTTGGATGCTTTCCTATTATACTTAATGTTTGATTGAGACCTGTATGACCTATTCTTATCCGAGAAATGACATTTTCCTCCCTTCTTTTAAACCCCACCTTCCTTCCATCCCCCACATACCTTTGAATTTTATAAAGATGTCTTCCTGTATCACTAAGGTCCCAATGATCTTGCCATGTTGTTTGTGCATATTTCTGTATGAATGTTTTAACCTCCGCTTTACTGAGTGGAACTTCTATGTCTATGTACACTTCTGAGTGTTTGTTTGGTCAGAATATCCACCTGTTCATTACCCTCCACACCAACAACATGAGCAGGAACTCAGATGAAACGAGTTGCTATGCCTTTGATTTGCATTTGATATCAAATTAGATATATTTCATTTATTATGTCCATTCTAGATGAAGATCTACCCGATCGTATACTCGATAATGCTGAAAAGCTGTCAGATGCAATTACACTATTATGTATTTCTTTCTCCTCTATCCATTTCAATGACAGTACCAATGCCAACAACTCTGTGGTGTATACTGACACACATGGTCTGTTACACTTTTCTTGATATGTGTATTACTCACTGCGATGTATAGGCCTACTGCTGCCCCTGCACGCCCTGTGTCTGGATCTTTGGAACCATCTGTAAATATGATTGTTGAGTCTGAGTGATATCTTGCAAAAATAATTCTGGACTATGCGCCATACTGGTAGTTCTTTCTTTTCCTTTAACTCCCTTTGTATATTGAGGTCTACACTTGGCAATGGGAATAACCAGGGTTCGTGATTTATCCAAACGAGTTTAGCGAGTTGTTTCCCTATGCCTGTTACATCCGTACAATAGTGTAGCGCACTGCGGACCTTCAAAATAAAAGCACACAAGCTCAAAAGTGCCAACATTTTAATCCTCTTTAAAGATATTGAAGGGAATTTGAAGTATGTGTCACAACAATACGAACAAGCCTATGCCTAATGACTGCCTGCAGTTGTTGTGTAGCCTGCTATATTTGTAAAAGCAGCCGTTTGTCTGATTTAGGTTGCAGTGAGATAATTACATGTAACGCCAAAGATGATGCACTGCCTACTAGTGGCCAACACAAGAGTAGTCATCAGATGCCATAATTTTACCCTTTGCCCAAACAATCAATTAAGAGGCCACACCTTAAATGGAGACCTATCATGCAAAATGCACTTTTTGATGTATTTTATACATAGATATGTGTCCCCGGTGTGTCAGGGAACTCGCAAAGTGTCAGAAAACAAAACCCTCTCTCTTTTCCTCCGTAGGCCTACCCAAATCTCTAAAAACGGGGGTAAGGGAGCTGATCCAGATTTGCGCCCGATATGACGTAATATCGGAAATGCGGATCAACAGCACCATCAGAAATGTTGCTACCAGAAACAATGCCAGACTGTTTTGGAGCTAACCTGTAGGCCTACTAGAGAAAGCATGTGCAAAAAATGCAGGAAATAAAAAAAGGAACTTTTGAGGTCCATACTGTTTCAGAAATAATCCTTTATGTGGTTTGGAACATGATATGGCATTTAATCCCGGCAGCATTTAGCTGAGTATCTCGTAGAATTCTGAGCAAGCTCCCCCTCCTCTTTTTTTTCAAGCTAAGGACCCCAAATCAGCAGTTCTCGAACAGGGCTGATAAAGAGGGATATGAGGCATGTCTAAAATGCATGATCTGTTTGGTATTTTGAGCAAAACCCATCATAGACATGTTTTTTATATATTTTTATATATCTGAGACCCATAATATATGCATACAAATAGCATAATAGGAGACCTTTAAAGCAGGTCAGAGGAAGAGATTGGGGATAGAGCTCACAGTCCTCACTCTATGCAAATACGTTTGGACTTATTTTCTCATGACAGCTAATTATTACAAACATTACACTCCTGGGGCATATTCAACACCAACTCCCTCCAGCTGCAGCCTCTCCCTCAAGTTTATAAGGGCCTGCACAAAAGAGAAAAGCTGCTGCAGTTTCTCTTTTCTTCATTTTTCTTTGTTTTACTAACAGGCTGGACGAGCTACACACTTGCTGCATTCAATGACTTTAGCCTGTTGTATGACTTTTCCAGTCGCAGTTGATTAAAGAGCTTTAAATTAAACGTTTAGCATTATTATGATACATCATAGTAAAACCAGATGAAGCTGATGACCCGAAGATTGGCTGTGTTTTCATTTGCATGAAAACAGCCAATTTTACTTCAGATTTGTAATTTACTTATGTTCCCGTACATGCAGACCAAGACAGCATCAGACTGATGTGACAGTGCATTTCCGTATGACTAATGCTTCAATATTACTTCTCCACTTCAGAGTCCAAGCCAGTGCTGAAATTAAATTGCAGAAATTGGGTTTGAAAATTGCCATCCTTCCTCTAGTGATCCGTGGAATGGGCTCTGGTCCGTTCCATCACATTTTACAGCTAATTTCATGTGGTGAAATGAGAGATGCAATGGAAATATGTTTGTGGTTTCATGCATGAACCAAGATTTATGATTGCTGTCTAGGTCTCTCATAGGTCTCTTAAAATATCAGCTCCCATTCAGCATGTGATAAATCCCTCAAATTAGTGCCTCCCTTTAAGTCACTCGACAGCTATAGGTGCATGATAGGAGTCTGAACATCATCTCCTGCAGCCTACATTGCATCCCGCTTTTACACTTTCACACTTGGAGCCATCAAAATCAGTTTACACGTGAGACTGCCTTTCCCAATTTATACCAAAACAAGCTGCTGAATAATAGATGTTTAGTGTACTGTACATTCACACCAATCCTATCAGTAAATAGGCAGGAATTGAAGGATTTCAGGTTCCATAAACTTTTAAAATGAAGGAAATATAGTTGTTCTCAATTTGCACAACATTGTTTTTTTATTTATCGAAGAGAATTAGGTGATGTTAAAATGTTGTACGTAATGGAGGTTTGGTTAACTAAGAATGAATGCTGTCAAAATTATCGCGTTAACGGCGGTAATTAATTTTTTTAATTAATTGCGTTAAAATATTTAACGCATTTAACGCATGCGCAGAATGGCCCGCCCCATACATCCCACCAGTGGCAGCGCCAGGGTATGGCTGGGCTACAGCCATACCAAGAAATGGCTTAGCCCCACCTTGAAAAATGATGTTAAAGTAAGCAAAATAAAGTCCGCCAACTCTCGCGGAGTAAATTGCACAGACAGCAGAGTAAGATTGATTTCAGTAGTCACTTGTCTGGAAATACTGAAGACTAGAAACGGTTTTGAAAACTTTTGTCACGTAGTGATCGTCTTCTCAATATAACATCTTTGATAATGTCTTCTGGGCAATCAGAATCACGATAACGGCGTGGTGTTGTTGCAGGAAGTCCCGACGGAGAATACTTTTGCTGTAGTAGGCACATATACATCGATATAACATTACGTGTTGATAGAAATCAACACGTAATGAAATAAGACCCCACGGTTTGATGATTGATAGGTGTGTGGGCTGTCTTTCATCACACAGAACAATGTTATAATAAACATACATACATACTGTATTTTAGATGGATATATCCGCCTTCTTTCATTTATCTTTCCATTCCACAACAATATACATAAAGAAATGGCATATTTTGGACATAGTTCGAATGGTGATTAATCATGATTAATAAATGTTTAAGCTGTGATTAATCTGATTAAAATGTTTAATCGTTTGACAGCCGTACTAAGAATATTAGCATAATGACTGGAAACAGTGGTAAACAGCTAGCTTGGCTCACTTAACACCATATGTTATCCGTGTGACTCCTCAGTTTATAGTGTGTTTTGTTA